ATCCAAATTTATGATATCGGTATCGGACATAAAAAAGTGGTATCGTGCCATCTCTAGTAATAACATCAGTCTGGGTTTTTGTGCTTAGCTCTCTTCCACCTCATTGTTAACGTCACAGAGCCAAAGTCACAGACTTCAGTGACCCAGCTGGCGTGGACGCCTCTTTATTCTTTTCTGCTTTTGTCTCAAATACCTGCTGACGAGGTGGATTAACCAATCAGCAGGCCCACGGGGCGTGTTTGTGTTTGGCGGCAGGTGTAATCAGAGCTCAGAACTTCTTTGAGATCAGTTCAGTTCTGTGGCTCTGACTGGAGGAAGTTTCTGCTGAAACTGTTTGAAGCCCCCTTAGTGTGACCTCCATGATGTCAGCAGGTCATGGTTGTGACTGCTGCCGTGCCTGCCACAATCTGTGTCAGTCAATGATGCTCGGTGTGTTTGTAGATGCACTTGTTCACTGAAACTCACTCTCACAGAGACGAGCCACTCTCCACTCACTCTGTGCAGTGTGCTCCTCGGTACTCCCTCGCTGTGAGCCGGTGTAACGAGGCCGCCTGTAATGGGCACCGTGACCCTCTGAGCAGGAATGAAGACTTCAGCACTTTCAGGATTACTCAGGATTATTTTTAGCCTCCTTTACTGCGCCGGCCCTCGCGGACCTGCTCTTGAACAAACTGCAGGTGGAAAGGGGCCTCCAGCTGTGGGTCTGAAAGCGGGTCAGCTGGCGAACACGTGCTGCAGCGTCCAATGTCAGCGCCACACGGTCACTGCTGATGAGTATGGATCTTTTCCGGAGGTGATGGAGCTGTGAGCGAATTGGTGTCAGTGACCCGATCAGTGAGGCAATTTTTGTTTTACCTTTTTATTTAATAAAGTGTTTCTTCAACATACAGTTCACATTCAAATCTGCAACAATCTTTAAAAACTGATTAAAAATAACACTATAAAATAAAAAATGAAGAAATAAATGAATGAAATTATATTTTTAAAGGTACTTGCTAGAAAAAGAAACCAGGGAAATCTAAAGAGACATGATTAAATAAAATTGGAAATGAGACAAAACACTGCAAATAATTGAAGTTACAAGAAAGTCATGAAAACTGATTTTTTTTAAAAATAATACACCACCTAAGAAAAATTCTCACAAATGTAAATAAAATAATAAAGAAAAGGGTTAAAGAAGTCAAAATAATTTACAGAAAAATATAAAACTAGAGAACATGAAAATAAACGTGTCATAAAAGATTTGAAAGTGAACTTTGAGGCATCAAACTGTTCCTCC